TACACCATGGTGTACCTTGGGTCTTCGTGCCTCGCGGATAATACTGTTCATTTTATTGCGCGCACATTTGTTATAATAACAGCTGGCGGTGATAATGAGCACGTCATTTTTACTTTATTATTTCGTCGCAAACTGTATTTTATATTTTATATATTTTATATGTTCCAATAATATTACTGATATTATTATAAAAATAATATGCTTCGTGACGAAGAAATTTTAGAATTATTAGGCAATGGAAACAAATCGGAAATCGGAAGTCCAAGAAGTGAAACCGAAGACATTGATTTTCCATTTGCAGAATTTGAATATTTGTTAGATAATTTTGATATTGAAAATGAAAATCGTTTAATTGTGCAGGACGAAGAATGGGTACTACCACCATTAACTATAACAAGTAAACGTAATGTTAGGTGGGTGCAAAAATCTTTCAAACAGCCTACTCTCAAATTAGATAACGTAGAACAAAATAATATTATATTAGAATTAAAATCACCTTTACAGTATTTTTCTGAGTACTTTGATGACGATTTTTTATAAAACATGGCATACTAATCTTCATTCGATTCAAAAAGGTTGTTCGAACTTGCCGCCGTTTTCGTCGCGACATTTAGGAACCGGTCCGCGAGACAGCGCAACGCGCGGCCCACGGACGCCGGACGCCGGCCGAGTCGCCGCCGGCGACTTAGAACTTGTCTTTGCCCTACGCTCTACGCGAGCAGACCGTGCGTGCTTCGCGTCCGGCCGTTGTTTTGTGCCGTTTATCGACAGCCGCATGTGTGCGAATTATCCGTGCATATTTTTTAAATACCTAGTGCGTATTGTTATTTCGCGCTCGCGCGATTATCGTGTTTTCGACGCCGTTGTCGTGTTCGACGTTGCATCGATTACCGTCGCCTTGGTCCGTTGCACGCCCACGATTCGTCGTCACGTGTTTATCGCCGACGTTCGCGCTCAATATTAGTTTGTATCGAATCTTTAATCAAGTTGTCGTTGATCTTCGACGGGCCATAATTCGCGTCGCGATCGGCAACGCGTATATTGTCTACCGTCGATATTATTATTGCGCGTGTTCCGCGCTCGACGACGCTTTCAGTGCCGGGATTACGTCCTTTGCACCTTACGTAATCCAGTCAGTTACGTAATCCGACCGCTTGCATCCGCAGCCGCCGACGTCGCCGCCGCCAACAGCCGCCGCTCCCCGTTCACCTGCGTGTGTCACATAGCCGCATCAGCTGTTGCAGCCGCAGCCGCCGCCGCCGCCGATACCCCGCCCCGCCGCGGCGTATGTGCCGATCGGTAATCTATATCTGTTATATATTTTGTTATTATTATTGTTTTAAGTTGTGCTCGGGAAGAGACGTTTTCCCGACCGACATATTATACACATTTGTTGTATCATAAATATATTCTTTTGTCATTTATATACGACGTACTATTTTTATACATTTTTTGGTCACCTATCCCGTCCAAAGTTTAACACCACTTTCCCTATATTTAAGTAGCTGCTCGGCCAAATGCAAGCCAATAGCCGGCAGCCCAAACATTTGGTAGCAGAGCGTGGTTTTTATTATTTAATTGTGGTGTTCACGTTTGGATTGGGTTCGTGACAGCTGGGTAGGACCATTGTCCCCGTTATTTATTATAATTGAGCGCTGTCAGACCGAGTGATAGGCCCGTGGGTTACGTGCGCGCACCTTTTATTCGCTTCCTTCCGAGCTCGTAACCAGCCGTGTCATGGCTTCTGACGAAGAGGTGGAGCGTGATAAGCGCGCGAGAGACCGTGCTTTGGCTAAACGAGAGTCGTACGTCGCTCGCATTAAGGCTATCCACGTGACGGCTTGATCGGCCAGTGATGATGCGACCATGGCGCCGCAGCTGCTCGCGGCATCCACTAGGTTGGATAATCTGTTGGCTGGGTTCGAGATTGAGGACAGTGCTGTGTTTGACGCTTATTGCGGTCTGAATATGTTGAGCGAGTACACGACCGACCTTAACGTTGAAGTGAACGGTTGGGTAGATTATATCAGGTCTATTGTGTCACGCTACCATGTTCAACCTGTGTCGCCGACGGCTCCCGCTGCCGGAGGTGACCCTCACGTGGCACAAACCCGCGTTTTCCGTCGACTACCCGAAATTCCGTTACCGCAATTCGACGGCGATATTCATAAGTGGCCTGCATTCCGTGATCAGTTCCTCGCTGTAGTGTCTCAATTTCCGGACATACCCGACATCGAGCGATTTTACCACTTGCGCAGCTGCATTCATGGAAGCGCTGCCGACATAATTCGTGGTATACTGGTTTCGGGAGCCACGTTCGCCGTAGCCTGGGCCGCATTAGTATCGCGTTACGACAAGCCGCGCTTAGTCGCGGGATCTTTCGTCGACCAATTGTTACAAGTCCCTGTGTCGTCCGTGGATAGTTTGTCGGACCTGAATAAATTTATGTCGGTATTCGGTGAAGGTATTTCAGTCCTTACCGCATTACAGGTTCTAGACTTAGGCGATTTCATTTTATTTTCACTGGCGTCACGTTGCCTTTCGTCGTCGTGTCGCACATTGTTCGAGTCGGAGACGACAAGTGACTTTCCCACGGTGGAGGACTTGTTCAAATTCATTAAAAACCGTATTGCTATTCTCGAGCGCGTACAGGTCGTCGCCGGTAAACAGGCAGTGCTCGCGTCCCGTCCTAAGGACCGACCGTCTGCGCCGTCGAAGTGGTCACGTAAAGTGGATCGACCATCGCCGACATCATTAGTCTCAGCTGTGCCAGTACCGGCGCAGCCGCCGCGCACATTGTCGTGTCAATACTGCAATAATTCACACGCGCTCGATGTGTGCCGTAAATTTAGTTCACTACCCGCGGATGAACGCACGAAATGGGCGCGTGCTCAACGTATTTGTTTCTCGTGTCTCAGCCCCGATCACTGGTCACCCGTTTGTAAGGCTCCCGCCAAATGTGCAGTTTGTTCACGCCGTCATCATAGTTTATTACATCCGACAACTAAGGACGCTGCGCCGTCATCGGATGCGGAATCAGCTCCCATCCCGACATCGCTATTATCCGGGCTCGGGTCGCCGTCCGTCGTGCTTTGCACGGCATTGGTACACATCCGTGATCGTTCTGGAAGTTTCCAAGTAGCCCGCGCGTTGATTGATTCGGCGTCACAAATAAACGCGATCTCACTGCCATGCGCGAAGCGGCTAGGTCTCCGTTGGTCAACTTGGTCGGCACCAATTTCGGGTTTGGCCGGCGTGCCGGTAGTCACGGTACAAGGACGAGTCGATTGCCATGTTGTGCCGCGCTACGCGTCCGATCCAGTTTTAGCGTTCGAGTCATGGGTTCTACCGTCTATAACCGGTGATCTCCCGCGGCATTCGTTGGAATCGTCTGTACGGGATAAGTTTTCGCACTTGGCGTTGGCGGACCCGGATTTCCATATCGCCGCGCCGGTTGATCTATCAAGCCAATAGCCGGCAGCCCAAACAAAGGTGTTACTAGATTTAAACCTACTGATATGTACGAAAAGAAACGTTTAATCGGTATACATATCATAATGGGTAATTTAAAATATCCACGTGTACGTTTGTATTGGCAAAAACATTTTGAAGTCAATTTAGTTGCTCAAAATATGACCCGAGATAGGTTTTTTTCCTTAGGTAATAATTTACATATCGTCGACAACAATGAAATTCCTAATGGCAACAAAGACAAATTTATAAAAGTCAGGCCGTTGTATACTGCTCTCCAAAAAAATGTAATAGTCTACCAATGGAGAGAAACTTGTGTGTCGACGATCAGATGGTTCCCTTCAAAGGGCAACTATCTATAAAACAATATATGAAGGGGAAACCTATTAAATGGAGAGTAAAAGTTGTTCTATTATGTGGCGAAAGTGGAACGATTTATAATATTTTGCCGTTTCAAGGGTATTATGAATTGGACCAAGACCTAATAAAAACAGTTGGTTCTGGAGCTAGTGTTTTAGCTAAATATATGCTGCTGGGACAATTTGAACAAATTGGTTTATGCAACCGGCGCATAAGTTGTCGGTAAGTCAGCCTGCCGGTTGCGGCGCACCTGTCGTTCTTGGACATTGCGTACTCTGCGTCGGGTTCATCGGCCGTTGTCGTCGCTTTTGGCTCTACCTACATACATCAGCGCGACGGGACGTACCGTTTTTCGCGTCGCCATATTGTACGCCGGTTGCCCGTTTCTGTGACCGCGTGCATAATTGTATTCATGTACTTCCACGCAACCCGTTTTTGTAAGTGCCATTCTTACTGACCATCCTACTGGGTCTTCACACCGTAGCGAAAATCATGTAACGGAGTAACCGTTACCACATAAATAAAACGGTCTTTCTCAGGACCACCAATCAGCGAACAGTAGTACAAAAACAAACCCTGCAACCAACATTAGGGAACAATAACAAAGCTCCAAACAACGACACATCAAAAACAACAAAAGTGATACATAGGGGAGAGTAAGACGAATCCAACGATACCCTCCCCACGTCGATAACTCCAAAATTGCGCAAGTTACAGAACTTCCCATACCACATGAAAACACAACTATACACGGCGGAACAAAACAGTTGACTAGTCGGTACGGGAATCTACTTATATACCGGACGATTTAGGAACAACGATATCAGTCTTCAATTCACCTTCTACCAGTCAACAAATCAAACACTTTGGAAGAATAGAAGATCCGAAGACCATTAGCCATAGCAGCAGTTAGCGAACACAAATCTTGACGAAGCCGACTCAGCCAGACCGGCCAACGACGACAAACCTCGGAAAAGCCGACGCAGCCGACCCGCGCCGCAACCAGACCGACGTCACTGTCCTCATCGAACTGACCGACGCCGATACAGCCAGCGGAGCCGAGCCTACCTACAGCAAGTGTTGGACGTTCTAGAGTAACAGCCACCGCGCCGCAACCAGACCGACGTCACTGTCCTTATCGAATTAACCGACGCCAAAACGCGCAGACTACTCAAAAGGCGAGGCGAACACTGCCCAACGACGTGACCGTCACAATCGACACAATCGCTTGATCTAGTCAGGTTTGAACAGCCACCAATATATAAAATTGTGTTACGCCCACGGTCGACCGATACTAAAAAGGTCCTTTTTAGGACCAATAGTCTAGACTCCCTTCCATTCGGGTGCACCTGCTTAGGTATTCACCAACCTGAGCCCTGAACACGACTTACATAAGACCGTGGGAAGGGAAGTCCAATAATTATTTATTATAAATCGCTACACTATATTTGTACTCTTCAGATCGCGCCTCTGCAGGCCCGATACCGCCCGTTGCGGTTCGCTTCTTTAAGCCTACCGCACGGCTCGGAAATAAATCATCCTACATATATTTCTGTATATAATATTATTATGAATGAATAAACGAACATCAATATATAGTATACAATCAAGTGTACAATTATTCCCGATCACGGGCCGTCAGAATCAACGAACCGTGTCAATCACTTTTTGTTAGCTACGTTGTCGTGACGATTTGTCGCACGGTCGCCGAAAACCTCGTGGTCAAGTTGTGTTGACGGTGTGTTCGTCGGCTATCAACCATCGTTACCGTTCGCATGAAATATCATAATTGCGATTCGCTGTTGTGGCTACCGTTGACTACAAGCGTTCGAGTATTGACAATTCACACCCTGCCGTCCGTCAAGACCGCTGTCACCGTTGCACCTTTGCACCGTGTATGGATCCAGAGGACGCGAGCGGAGCGATAGTTGACGTCACGGCTATGGAGGCCGTCAGGTTAAACTTTTGTATTGCCACTTTTAATCGGCGCGGTTGTTGGTACTAGTTACCTATCTGTGCTTGTTATTTTGTTTATATATTTTATGAATTATTATTTAAATTGCATAGGTTAGGGTTACCATTAATCATTCATTCTACCATTAATGATGGCACAATGTGTAAGTTGCCGTCATTAATTTAGATGGTTGGATGGACCAATTTTGTTTCTTAGCTGTAAGACTTAATTGCGGCGCCCGATTTATTTATTATTATTATTATTTGTATTTATTATATTTATGTGCTCAGCGCTTTACACTCAAGTTGAATTTGTTTGTTTGCAAGATTTGTTCACCGGGAGGGCAACCTTTTCCTAAATATATCGCTAGTCGGTATCGCCAACCGCCTATTTTGAAGGAGCGATATCGACGACTAAACACTCGTCGTTACAGAGATATGTATATAAAATGAAATTCGTCAAACACGATGTACAACTCTTAGTTGAAAACGTGGATCCAATTACATCGTTTAAGAAACAAAGACATGGAGCGCTTCTTGCTAATACGATTAGAGCACTTATCGTGGGCCCTTCGTAGAGTGTATGTTTATGGCAAAAACGATCTATGGCAGGCAGATTTAGTCGAAGTGATACCGTATTCGAAAAAAATAAAGGGTACAAGTATGGTTTATGTGTGATATACCGTTTTACAAAGTTTGCTTTTGGGTGACGACAACCTTTCCCTTATCAGCTCCCTCCTCGTTCATACACCTCTCATTTGTCAATTGTGAGTTATTATAATTTTTTTGTTCATTTATTCTCTTAATGTTGGTTTTCATTTGAGCTATCGGTCGTCCTATTGCCTCATCTTAGAACAAATGGTTTTTTTTTGACATTCTTGGGCTAACTTTTTGTTTTCATTCTATTCTTAGGCGTCGTGTCTACTTCTTTCAATTAACATTTTTTTTTTATTGTTTTCTGGTCTGCTAGTAAACCAACCATTTTTTTTTGTGCTCTTTGATTCGCTATTTAATCAATGGCGTTTGATTTTAAGGCATCCGAAAACCATCGATAAAAGTTATAACACTAACAACAAATTAAACAATGATGATTGCTCTTGAGAATAGGTTTGATAGGACGAGAGACTTCAGAACGGGGATAACTGAGGCACAACAGTTTAATGTTAAGACAAACAGCTCTACCAAGCTCCAAACGTATATTGACAATACCCAACTTGTTATGATCAATATGCTCATACACAAGCAAGGTTTTCACGATCAAATTTTTCCTAGCGAACATGGGAAACAACCAAATGCGACGGTACAGCTGAACTGGAGCTTAGTCAATTGGTAATTTAATCTTTCAGAGAATCATCTTTCTTCGTAATCTTGTAAACTCAGATTTCAATTCAAGCATTTGATTGGAGATAAGCAGCAAGTCAGCTTTTAAATATTAATATTTTGTATCTAGAATTCAGAAATTACTTTATTAAAAGTCAAAGACTCAACCTTAAAAGCCTCCAACATAACCATTAAATCTTTATTAGATACAGAAAAAACCTTACTATTGCTATCAATACAACTAGATGTAGTTTTGGGTAGGTTTAATTCTGGTATCCAGTTTAGGAGACATAATTAAAATTAAGTTAGGGTATTCATGAAAAATCAAACTATACATTACCACTCGGCGTAAAACAGAAAATTACTACACACGCATTTAAAGTGATTACCGGACGGCACGAGGTATTACTGTTGATAACGACCGCTGAACTGAAAAAAAATATGAAAATACTTAAGTTAGACGTTGGTAATTCAACAAACCACAACAACATCCCATAAGAGCACAAGTTTTGGCTGAGAGTGGATTGGTGGTTAGCTAAGGCGAGGAACATGAGAGACGAGTGACGATTTCCAAAAACTATAGACTTCTCAGATATAAGTCCCATATTTTCTTTAAAACAAAAACTGACAACACTTAAAATTCATATTTTCTGATAGGAACAAAAACTCTGAAAATAATACAATAAAACGTAAAACAAAGCGAATCAAGCCAAAACTTCATCAATAGCATTCAAACATACAACAACTTTAAATACATGATTAACTGAAGGATTCGATTAATGAAGACTCTTCAAACTGGGTTTTTAGTGACGAATCCTTTTCATACATACAAGTGTTCCACACCAACAAAACAATCTATTTTGATTTGCCAAACATTTACCAAAACATTTAACATTGCAAACATCAGATTATTTATTTATTATAATGGTAAACGGGATAGGCCCTTGATATTTATTTAACATTTATAATTAACAAGATTATATTACACTATTACATACATAATATTAAGATAATAATGATAATACAAAATAATTACACACAAAAAGATATTTAGATGTTATTGGATCCATTAGCTAGTGTCATCATATGCAAAATGGGTTCATTATATAAGTAATTTGTCGCGTAGAACCGGACCCTGAAAGGAGAAAAGAAGCGTCAATTAGCACCGGGAACATTAAAATTAACCCTGCAGGTGTTGGGACGGATTTGAGGATAATAATATGTATAAAATGACACGTCGATTAAAGTTTATCTATTTATCAATTGACTATAACAAATAACAATGTTGCTGCGACGTGGTGGTGACGACGGTCAGGCAAGAGCTGGTTCCGTTGTCCGTCGCTGGCCGGGCTGGCGGCCGTGCCCCAGGC